ATAATCTAAAATCAAATTGATTTTGGCTTTTACATTCAGATGCACTTCAACCTCTCACTTGCTGGCCTATACAAGTAATGTCTTCAGCCAGCCTGTGTTTAGAATGGGTTGAACATCAGTTTGTATGTTCACATGCTTATTGGAATTTTCTCATTTCCATTTCACCTAGAGCCAATCACAATCAGATTAACTTGCTGGGAAATATGTCAAGAGGCTGATTTAATGGGTGTTTTAGCAAAGAAATGGTTCCTCATATAGTGAAACACTTTTTTGCCTATAACACRTTGTCTATTGCCCATTTTGTGTCAATAAATGGGAAGATGGATAATCAGAACTGTTCATATTTATTCTGAAGAGCTCTCTTCTCCATCACATGTAGATTCATAATCAATCATGACAGAACTGCAAAATCACATGAAAATATTTCCTAGTCTACATCTGCTCCTTTCTACTAGCAAAATCTGGAGTATCTGCAGCCTTCCATGTATGGAATGGTAGGGTAGGTTTCTGAAATGGACACTCTCCTGCTCACCTGCTGCCATCCAACTGTGGATCATTTGGATTGGATAACTGCTATCTGAACTGACATGCAGTCATCCAGTCTGAGAGCAAGTATGCGAAACGATGCAACATAACACGCTATCAAGGCTGTAATAGGACATAGAACACCTGCCATTGACTTGGACAGAAAGGAGAAAATGCTCTCAATTGCTTTGTTTTCAACATTCTCTTCCCCATACTCCTCACACGTCCATTTTTACTTAATTTGTCACTGATGCTTTAAGGAGAGAGAAATGGCATGGATGGAGAACAAGAAAATGTGAAGCAGATGCCCAAGTTCTATTACTGACTCTGTTGGCGACTGGATAAGCTGTTTTTAGCAGTATCAAGTTCATTGATTTAGATGGCTTAGTTTTAGGTTTCCAGACTGAGAAGATACACACTGCCTGCTTTCCACTGTGAGTCAGTACTTCAACGCTCATCATCTTCAAAAAAAGAGTTAGAATGAGTCTGCAATTAAGGTGGTAAATGCTCTGCATCTAAAAACTCAACACTTACAATTAAATGATATCAGGAAAATACTGACTCAAGCTCACAGTAATTCAATTTACTTGCCTCTGAACGAGAAATTAAAAATGTATCACGAAGAGAGATATTGTGGGTTCAATCAATGCTTTAAAGGCCTCTGCAAATCTCAAATAAGAAGTAAAAAATCCGTGTGCAAATATTACATTGCAAAGATGATGAATGGGAATGGAGTGRGAGGTTATATAACCTGATAATATAAAGGATCTGAAAGAGCTTAAACTATTTAACTATTCAGCAGTGAAAAGAAGTCAAGAAGGATCACTGCAGACAAGAACTGGAAAGACAATATAGAAGCTGACTTGTGCAGGCTGACATTCCGCTTCAAAGAGTATTAGTGCTAGAGAGTGGTTACAAAACTCCAAGTCTTTAAAAACAAGTCTGATTTAATAAATATTTACTAAATTGTTTAAGAATTTCCTGGCATCAAGCTATAAATATTAAATTGTAATGTAAATGTTAAAAGAATGATGTTTTTTCAAATAATCAATTTAAGATTATAAGAATTTTTGGATTAAACATAAAAAATAATAATAAAAAAATCCCTGAAAGTCAAACAAAAACAGTGATGGTTAAATTCCAAAAGAACAATCCACTCAGAGTTGCTTTCATGTGCCAAAAACTATTATTTATATTGTTTATGCACTTTCATCATGACAGCCCTAACACTGAGCAGAGCAGATAGAGTCTAACAGTTACCACATTAGAGAAAAAAAGCTCTCAAAAGGTAAATAAAATGAAGTGAGGCTATRTTTTTGGATCCTGGGAGACATAAGGCCATTCTGATATTCTGCTTATATCGATTATTTTATATTGTTTAATGAATTTTTGTACTCTATCTACAAAATAAAAGTTGGCTCAATGACTAGAGCCTGCACTTAAAGGAACCACTCTATTAAAACTGGTTTTGTTTGTGCCTGGAGAATCAGAACAATTCCAGACAGTTTGTTTCATATTTCACTTGAAAGCTCCTGTTCCATTAGTATGACATTGTTTCTGAGACAAAGCTTAACCATAGTGTCTTTCCCCTTTAAAAGGTAATGACACCATCTAAGCAAAAATAACAGTGGGGAAAAAAAAAGACCCCCATTATAGCAAACTGTGGTATTAATGAAATTCTGTTTGTATTAAAATTTTCTTTCAACCCCGGTCTTCCTGTTCAGTGGGATAGTGTCAACCTGTCAAACTTTTAATCAAGAGCAGTTCATTGATGCTTCCATTATGTCAAAAAGCCTCACCTAGGTGACTTCAAGGGGAGACAGCAGGTCTGACTTTCTCAGCATCCAAGGCTATGAATTTTTMATTTCTCACCCCCCAATTTTTAATTTCTAGTATGTGTATGTGGATAGACACAATGTCTTTTTTTATTGTATCAAATCTATGGTGTACATTTCAATCAAGTTATAAGGTCAAGAGAAGAAAGGTAAATACTTGAAGAAATAATTTCCTAATTTTTAGATTGAAAAGAAGAGGCTAGTTAGAGGACTGAAATCTGTGCATTCAGAAGGTCTTTTAAATGACAGCTACTCCAGCCAAAATTTCATGAGACCGTATCATTATTCACAATTTAGAATCTCCCTAGAAATTATTTCACTGAGGTGTTCCATTTGCAGAGATGCTGATAATAATGATATCATTTAGCCTACTAATGAATTCTTCCTTTATTGCATAGAAGTCAAATTTGGGGCCAGATCCTGACCTCCTGCAGTAGCTGCTATCCATGAGCAAGACTGGAATGGACTAAAAGTCAGTTTAATGAAGTACCTGTACCTCATGCTGTGTTGGCAGAATGCTTGATGTGGAAAATAAAARTAAACTCCCCCATGGCAGCTCTACAATGCCTTCCTCTGCAGCTTATCTCTTACTAAACTGTTACAAGTGAAGTTATAAGGGAACTGTGACTAGGAAAGGCTGTGTCTCCCTGATTCCAGGGAACCAAAATGATTGTAGTTAGAAGGTGACTGAGAACAGCCTTAAGACAATTCTGATTTCCATCTCAGTATCAGCGTGGTACACTGTTGACCCCATGTGATAGGCAGGAAGTTTTTTTTCTGTGTGCTGCAGATAAAAGACAAGTCCCAAGGAAATGCACAGTGCCCCTACGACCTCTATTTAGTCCTGGAAAAACTGACAGAATTTCTATGCTAGACCTTCTGATTTGATGGTTTCTACCATACTCATGAACAAACCCATCTTTTTGCGTTCACCGTAATACCCCTTATTTATCAATTAGATGTACAACRAGATGAGTTTTGATTGAAAATACTTTGTTGTTTCATGATCAGGAAGTGAAGTCAGGGAGAATTATGATAACCTGAAGATATGGTTAAAGGAGCTCCAGATCTTGGGTTTTTTAATAAGTTTGCAAAGGCATATTAATGGGGAGTGTACTACATAATCCATCTCAATTATTTACTCTTCACTCTTCTGCCAAACGAAAGATTCTCATCCAAACAGTTTGGTGGTTTTGTTGTGTTTTTTTAAACGTATCATGTATAATTAGAAGATGACTATATGAGTCATTTATAAAGCCAAACAAGAAGACCAGAACTCTCATAATGTGAAATGACCAGCTAATTACAGGACTGGTTTAAATTATGTTCCTAGGTATTACTTGTTCTTTCCAAAATGGGCTGGATATCTGTACTATTAATTCAGCCCCAAAGACCAATTTCATTCTTGCAAACATATTGCACATTTAAAATGCAGCAAGGTTTAAATCATCCAAGCTTATTGTTTTAACTTCCAGCATTTCATTATTCTCCTTAATGGTTTGCACATTGTTTTACACAAGTACAATATAATTTTATTGCATGATGTAAAAAAAAAACAAAMCAAAAAACCCAAACCCATGTACCATTTGCTTCCAAAAAAAAAGATGAGAAGTGATGGGACAGGAGACCTAAAATACAATGATGTTTTGCCTATAGACAGGAAAAGCTGAAGGTTGTTCAACATATGCTTAATTGAGAAGATACATACAGAGTATAAGCAACATATATACATTTGAAATCATTTGCCTCTCAAGATTGGATTGGCAGGAATATAAAGAAACTGAGCCAGCCCAATTTTTCTTTCATTGTAGTCAACTGGAACACTGACAGCTTTGGCTGGGCCAAGAGAAGGCACTAATTTAGGCCCTGTAGCTACTACTTGGAGCAGGTTTTGTAGCTGGGGATGACAGCTTTGAGAGACCCATCTTGGGGGGTAAAGTACTAAATGTGCCAGGTGGTTCCTCAAAACATGGAGGAACTGAAGGTAGAGCCTGCAGTCTCAGACTCAGCTTCCTTATTCCCCTGGGGAATCTCAGGGGCAGCATCTGGGGGTCAAGAAYCACATCACAGTGCCTTATTTCATGATCTCTAGGACTGCAGGTGCCACTGGTTAGAGGAATGGAAATAAAAAGTCACAGTCTTTGTGGAGAGGAAAGCACTCTGATGGATTGACCCTGAAAAGTGCAGATACTTGCCTTTAGCATTAGGAGATCTATGARGAATTAAAAGAATATATTTCTAATTGTTCTTTTGTGCAATACATAAATTGCTTTTTCACAAAACTATTTTTATCAAATACTTCCACAAAGCATATCCAGTGAAGAACTGTAACTGCAAAGCTGTTTAAGGATCGGTGCTTCCCAAGTGCCCTCAATTGCTCCTGTTCTACTTGCCTTGACCTGTTGCATCATGTTATGAGATATCAAACTGCCATCATGTTCCATTTTAGAGCTGATTACACTTCATTGGTGGGCAAAGTTGCTGCTTGCTGAGGGTTTSTGAGGTTTGATTAATTTGTGCTTATGAAGTGCTTTGAAATTCTTGCACGAATGATGTTACAGAAACACAGAATATTGCTGCTGTTATACAGGCAGGTACATGATTAAAGATTTGATGTTGCAAGGTGTGGCTGGGCCTTACCTTCTCTTTGGGAAAACATTCTGGTTTCCTYTGAATTCCCTCTGGCAAGCTAATACAGTTCCAACTTCCAACCATACCAAACCAAAACAYTTCAATTGTCCTAGGGTAGGGAAAAATAATAAAAAAAAAGATTAGATGAAGGGTATTTCTGAGAACTCATTGCCTGTCTAGGATATTGCACCTCTAGGTGGTCTGATAAACTTCAAGGGCACCTTCGTGATTAGGTTTATTCTCAGACTAACAGCATTCTCTTCAACATTTTTTTAATCAACTAGAACTCTTTTAATTGCTTTCTCCTCTAGGTATTTTACAGACACCTRACTGCCTGTTAAAGCATCTTCTTTAAGTGTCCTTATCTGTGATATCCTCTCCTTGGGTGGAGAGACCTACCTATCCTCCTCCCTGATCTCTGCTGCCCAAAGGGAGCTGTTACACGTTGTATCCCTTTCCATAATTTCTGACTCTGAACCCGACAGCTCCCATCTGCTCTGGGAAATGCAGCTCCCCACAGGTGATTCATTCTCGGCCAAGGCAGGAAGCTGTAGGGCTCAGCCCACAGCCAGCCTTAAAAGACCCAGGTTAAAGATAATTMTTGCACGGACTTATTTGTTTAAAGATTTGTTCAAGTTACTCACTGCTGCCATGCCTGGTTGTGGCCATGACCACACTGCTGTGGCCCTTCAGGAACRTACCAGCTCACAGAGTGAAGGGCAGGATTCCTGTCCAAAGCACAGGTGCCCAGTGCCATTTGAGAAGGCTGCAAGGCATCCAGGACATCTGCACAGGAATAGCAGAGATGACGCAGGACCTCTGTGCACTGACACTCCACCAGGGTAGCAAATGGATGCCAGGCAGACATCTGCAATAGCTAAAACAACACCAAATGCCAACGATGAGGCCACCAACTTCTCTCTGTACTATCCAACTTCCCCGTTTTCTACTACTACCAAGGGCATTCAAAAGGATTGGCCATATTGATCCTCTGTGTTGACCACATACTTCATATACTTTTTGTCTTGCTTTCATCAGGCCTAACATATTATGATCACCAGTCCTATCTTCGAGTCAAGTCATAGCATGGAATCTTAGTTTCATTTTTCCTGCCGGTTCTGCTCATTTCACATCCTGCACACAATAACATTTTTTGTTGTTACTTTCCATAATAACTCAATAGGTAATTTTGCACATACCTTTCTGCATATGGCAACCTCTGGGGTTTYGGTGCTTTATGCTTGCTTAGTTTCCAAAGAGCTGTAAAGAAAAAATATTGATTGGTTTTGCCTCAGGCTTTAGTAGACAAACTTACCTAGACGGTAAGGCCAGATTCAGAGTACATGTCTCTRTTTAAACCATGAGAACACTAAGCATTTAAGAGGTTCAAAATAACCAGGCCAAACAYCCTTATTATTTATCTAACAATGCCATCAGTTTCCTGGCTGCTGCCAAAGCTCATGCCATAGTCCTATCCTGTTGCATATTTTCAGAAACATAAATCTTATGAAGAAGTATTTAAAGGTACAAAATTTTTCAAAATGAAGCATATCAGGAGCCTCTCACTCAGTCCCAGCTAGTGAGTTATTGCACATTTAAAAACCTGTACCTTCAGCTTCCTGATCATTGTTCTTGTCRGTGTATCTTTCAAAAACTGGCTTCTTAATCTACTCTGCCATAAAGTTTCTTTCATTAGAAATTAACAAGTCTGTTCTGAGCTTTTCCTAGGTCTGGGCTGGAATTCCATGAGGCGTTTCTTGTCAATCACTATACTCCTTGCACAGCTTGCGCTGTTCCATGTGTGCTTTCAACTRGGTATTCATGCCTGGCCTGTAGATACATTTCCTGGCTCATCTCAGGCATGTCTCTATCCCCAGGTGTGAAATATGTATCCACTGCATGATGTCAGCTCTTAAATCTCTTGAGATTACTGTTCAGCTCCATTTAAAACAAAAYCCATGCAGTTCTTCATTCACTTCCTAGGGGTGGGCACAACAGTCTGTGGCACTTACTGYTTTCTCTTGGCTGACCATGGATTGCACATTGCTTTCGTGCCTGTCACACACCATGCTGTTTTGTAAGACTGCCTTGAATGAGAGCATTTGCAGAAGTAGAGTCAGAAGCAGATTTTCACCTCATTGTTTCCCTTTCCTGGATATACCAAAACTCCTTCAATAAACACTGCAGTCTGCATCTTTACATGCAGAGCTGTTTCTGCTCTCCTTTCTCAGGCACCCCCACACTGGTGCTTTAGGTGCAAATAATGCTTTAGGGACTCGTGCTCCACTTTCAATTTTCTTCTCTTAATGCCATTTCTTTCTAATATATGAGTATTCTCACAAGATTTCATATCGATGATTTTCAGCAGTCAAGAGAAGTCCAGTGGCAGATGCATAGTTGAGCTTACTCTCAATTTGCCTTCATTCACCCTAATGTTTTGTCTCCAGCACCCACAGAGAAAAGTTATCAGAGGTAAATATTATGTGCTTTTTTTGCCTATTATTTTACATTTGTTTCTTGGAATTAAGATGCCCTAAGCTACAACACTTGCAACTAGAAGCACAGTATCCAGTCAATATCAAATCTCTTTGAATTGGAGCTGACACTGATAATCATACGTGCTCATCAATAACTGCTAGAAGGTGTGGCAAAGGTTGCCAGGCAGCTGAACAGCTSTTCCTCTTCAGCATGCAACAGTTATTGACTCCCTGATTTCCTCCTTAATTCTTTAATCACCCAGCCCATCATGACAGGATATATCCACACAGAAAATAATCCACGTAAAAAGGACACAGATGGGAGTGGACAGAATGGAGGTGTACACCTGGCCCAAGCTAGGTAATTACTCCTACTTTGCCAATTAAAACCCCATTCCCATTTTTGCTGGTTTAACAGTAAGCATCCATTTTATATTCAGCTCTTTGTTTCAGAGCAGATGTGTTCATTCTTACCTTTTAAACTATGTCACCTTTCCCTCAACATGGGTTTAGGTTAATAAACTGTACATCAAGCACTGCTTAAAAGCTGGCTTTGCAGGATGATATCTGATGAGGGAATTGCTTTTAATTACTGTACAAGTGAGTAGATAAAAATCACAGTCCTAATAATCAACTCCAGAAACTGACAGCAACGAAGTCTCACATTTCAAATGTGGATTATTTTTTCTTTCAGCATTCAGCTACAGAAGGCAAATGTTAGTGGTTGGATCATCTTCTGTAAGCAAGCCAAAGTTATGTGTAACATTTTTGGATGCTAACAGGACACAGTTCTGGCAGAACAGAAATAAGGGTAACATTAAAGATTACAGCAAGCTTGGAAAGGAAGAAAAGTGCTTTTCTCTATTCAGACTTTCAGAAGAACAATAATCTCACCTACATCTGCTGCTAGAACTTCGAAAGTCCAAGGACAGAAAAAGCAAACAACTTGCTTGCACAGCTATCAAAAATCAGAGAGAGCATGAGGCTTCCCAGATTGCCTTCAAAACCAGCAGCATTTGGCCCATTACCATCCACACCAGGCTAATGTATTTTTAATAGTTCACCTCCTAAAGAGATACTGCAGGCCATGAGATGCAAATTAGGCAGCCAAAATTGAGCGAGTTTGTGCTATGARAAATTTCAGGGGGGAATGAAATAAATGAAAGTAGGATTACAAACTGGGTTTGGTGCTCTGGTGAGAGGAGAAAAATGTGCTCATAAAGCCCAATAAAACTTTCTTTTTCTGGTTTATTAGGTGTTTGCAAAAACGTCTCAGTTGCAAAGTACAACATGTTCTTTTTCTGAAGACTCATCTACATCATGGAGGCTCTGATAAATCAGCTGCTTTCTTTTTCAGCCAACTACACAGTATAGGAAGCTAAGGTTACTGTTATGGCTTTGTTCAAACATTAGATGTTGCCTGAAAGCTGCCATGTGAACTCCATTTTGAATGCATTTCAATGCAGGATTTTACAATAGGAAAAATAAACACTTAGCAGCTCAGGAAACCAGGATCTAAAATACTGTAGACATGGATTTGTTTATTTGTTGCTTTCCTGCTATAGATCAGCCTGTCAGGATACCTCCTTCATGTAAATATTTAAGATCTACAACAAACTACTAAGGATCTACAAGAAAACAATTCTGATTAAAAAAAAAGGATCTACAAGAAAACAATTCTGATTAAAAAAAAAATAATTAAAAGAGAAAGAAAATGAAGGACACAGAAACAAACATTGATGTGACTCCCTTTGCATCTAACAAGTGTATTTTTTGCTGAAAAGGAAAAATATTCTGATTGTAAAGGTGTTGCATCTAGTGAGTGGCCCTTGGTTCCTTGAAACCACATGTTCTATAGATTTTAAGTTACTATATTCTTTTTTGACTATTTTGTTTTAATGGGGCAATAATGTTAGCTCTCAAAAGTCCACATGAGAAACTGAAAATCCTGAAAAGGATTTGAGAAGTAGAGAAGTTCAGAATAGTAGTCATCTGGAAGTCTCCTCTTTTCATGTCGGTAAAGTATAATGTTACTTCACGCCATTTGGCTGCAAATGTAAATTACACCTTTTTTCAGTTGTTAGGACAGGATAAAAAAACCACATAATTCTAATGAGTCATAAATGTTTCACCATTTTTTTCTTCATTTAATTCATATGGTGCCAACACCTGTGAAAACAATCAGCATCATAGCTGTGTGCTCTACTTAAATTTGCTTTAGGGTATGCTTGAGTAAAAGCTTTTATATCTCATTTCTCTACATTATTAACAACATGATGGCCTGAATCATTCCATAATTTAAGTATGCTCATTTCATTCTCAGCCATTTTATTAGGGCTAGAAAAGATGCTCAAAGACTATGACAGTCTTAAAAAAAGACACACACACGTACCCATTCCTGATTCTTACTGTAGCAAAATATCTATAACAAGATCTTCACATTATTTTTTATGTGCTTTGGCAGTTTTGCACCTTGAATTACGAATCTAAACTGTTAGTACAAGAGCCCTACTACAAAGCTTTCTCCCAAAAGGCTTTGCAGCCATTGCTCTAAGGTGAGTTCATTTCATGAGAGCGACATCTGCAGTGATCTGAATTTYAAGCTATTGCCAAAGAAGAGC